TTTACAAAATATATAATATGTGTAGAATATCTACTATTTAACTACCATTTTAGCTGAACTTCCTTCACCCCCAGCTGCCAATGGAGAAGAGGTACCAGAGATCTGCCCTGCACCCTCTCCCACGCTGGTTCTGCTGCTGCTCTGCCCTGCCTGCCGTGCTGGGCTGCCCACGGCCCTCGCTGGGAAGACAGTGAAGGAAAAAAGTCAGATTTGGAGAGCTGGGCAGCTGCTGAGACCCCTCTGCCCTGGCACCAGGGATGCTGCCGGACGATGCTGCCCTCCTGCTACCCCCGTTTCCAAAACCCTTGTCCCAAACCCCACCGATGTGCCTGCTGTACCCCGGGGTGCTGCGCCACGGACCCGCAGCCCCAGACCAGCCTAGTTTGGCACAAAAGAGAGCCCAGCCCAGTGGCTGCAGCCAGCAGCCCTTGCCCAAGGAGCAGCGCCAATGCAGCCCCTGCTTGGTGTTTGCAGGGAGGCTGGAGAGGTCCCAACAGCCCCAGGAGATCTGGGCTTGCCACAGAGCCCAAGGAAGAGCCAGCCTTGCCTCTGCCAGGGAGCAGGGCAGCCGTGTCCCAGCTCCCTGCAGAGGCTGGGGGGCAGAAGGGCTCATCCCAAGCCCTTCTCCCTTTAGGACAGAGCCACAAGCAACACACAGACACACCACTACACCTCTGGGGATTTGGCAGCCTTTCTACACATTCCTAAGGGGCTAAGAAATCCAGGAAATGAACCAAAGAGAAATGAGAAGCAGCAAGTTGGAAGTTTATGGCAAAGCAAAGAGCAAAACTTTTTTTTTCAAGCTGCCAGATCCACAATGGAACAAAACACAGTCAAAAGCTCCGTGGCCAACAGCCCGGCTGGAAGATGGCAAAGCTCACAAGGGAACGTGTCTGCAAACACCAGCCTCTCTGCTTTTCCCTGGCATGAGAGATCTGCTCAGCAGGCCTATTCCATGAAAATGCGACTTCTTGGTTTTTTTCTTTGCTTTGTCTTTCATCAGTGGCAGGGAAGGAAATAACAGTTCATTCCTCTCTGCCACAAACAACACTGGGATGCTGGGATCCTGCCTCAGAAGTCACAGCATCTGCAGCTCCCTCCTCCCTCCCTCCCTGCAGCTGCCCCTGGGAGTGCTTGGTGTGCATAGGGATGGGAGGGTTTCTCTGATAAAGTGCAAGTGCTGTTGGTCCTTATAAATAAGGGAAGATTGTGCATGTACTTTTGTTCCCTGGCTCACCGCTCCTCTCGGTGACCAGGACATGTCCTGCAGGAAAGCCTGTGCAAGTCCTGCCCTCAGAAACCGGCTCCCATTGTCTGGGCTCAAGGTCTTTTGCCTTCATTCTTTCTCCCTGACACAGACACACACACACTTCTCTGTCCTTGTCCCCAGCTCCACAGGGAATTCCCCGGGGGGCAGGCTCAGGACAGGGCAGCTCTCCATCACACCAGCACCAGCTGTGCCAACCCCAGCTCCACCTGGTGACTCCCTGCAGGCAGCAGGTTCCACGCACGCAGAAATACAGAATGATGCTTCTAACACTGGGCAACGAGGGAGCTGTCAAATGGCTACCCAGGGCACACTGGAACACTCACAAGGACTGGGAGCAGCCAGCACGTACAAACAAAGAGGAAGATCAGTGGGTGAAGCACAGCAGGTGGCTCCCGGGCTGGAGCAGGTTGATGCCAGCAAAGTCACACAAAGCAGGAGAACCCAAGAGCTGTGCCAGGAAGGGCCATTTGCAGAGGCTTCACTGTCACACCAGGAAAAAGCAAAAGCCCTGGTATAGATGTGGGAGTGCTGGCAGCAGGGCCAGGACCTCCTGTAGCACCCACAGAGGCCCAGGCCTGTTAAACACCCCCAACACACCAAGACCCAGCCCTGGGATGTGTGTCCCTGCTGCTGCCTGTGCCCACCCAGCTCAGCACTCAAGAGAAACCACCTCTGCAGGAGGAACTGGTTCAGTCACGGACTAAAACCTGGCCAGGAGCAACAAGAACACCCTTCTCCTCTGCAGCCTTTGGAGAAGTTTGGTTCAAGTCTGTAGGTGATCATCAGGTCTGGCAAGGAAGGTTTCTTCCTGGGGTAGCTTCCAAAAATTCAGGAAAAATAATCCAGACTGTGCAATTTCATCAGAAAGGGACAGAAAAGGATAAGGAAACAAGAGACTGCACACATGGCTATGTGCACTACCAGAAATTTCTACTGTTTTTAAACTGCACATTCACTATCATAAAGAAATGGAGCTGAACAATCAGTGGATGAGTAAAAAGGTGTATCTGGACAATTCTAAAAAATCACTACTGTTTAGGAAGGGCAGTTTACAAAAAGAACTGGAGGACTTTGGTCTGAACTCTGCTGTCGTTCCCACCCACGTAGTGCTGAAGCAGCCCAAGGGAGATGTGCCAGGGCATGACATGAAGCCAACCCACAGGAACTGCCCGGCACTGGCGCCATCCCCGCTCCTGCCTGGCTCTCCCAGCTGTGCCAGGCTGGAAGGGCATGGCACAGCACCTCCCAACCCCATGGAAAGACAAGCCTGGGGCTTGTGGGTGGGCTGGCCAGCACCCACCAGAACCACCCACCAGAACCACCTGCCCCAGCAGGAGCTGGACATAAGATGGGACATGTCTCTGGTGCAACACATCAAATGGAAGCAGAACCACACTCCCCTGGCAAACCACTGGGAAAAATTCCCTTTGTAACACTATTAAATGATCTCCATGACTGTGGAGAACGGGCTGTGTCTTCTCCTGCCCCAGCTGACCCAGGAAAGACCCTGAGAGCACAGGAAGAAGCTCCCCAGAGCTTGCTGACCTTGGGCTGGGTCGGGAGGCGATGGGCTCTGTCCCCTCATTTCTCACAAAGCGCTGAGCAAGCTTTGGTGTAGTGGCCAATTTAGAAGCTGTTTTCAAAAAAAGTCTCCCACATACAAACAAAGAGGAAGATCAGTGGGTGAAGCACAGCAGGTGGCTCCCGGGCTGGAGCAGGTTGATGCCAGCAAAGTCACACAAAGCAGGAGAACCCAAGAGCTGTGCCAGGAAGGGCCATTTGCAGAGGCTTCACTGTCACACCAGGAAAAAGCAAAAGCCCTGGTATAGATGTGGGAGTGCTGGCAGCAGGGCCAGGACCTCCTGTAGCACCCACAGAGGCCCAGGCCTGTTAAACACCCCCAACACACCAAGACCCAGCCCTGGGATGTGTGTCCCTGCTGCTGCCTGTGCCCACCCAGCTCAGCACTCAAGAGAAACCACCTCTGCAGGAGGAACTGGTTCAGTCACGGACTAAAACCTGGCCAGGAGCAACAAGAACACCCTTCTCCTCTGCAGCCTTTGGAGAAGTTTGGTTCAAGTCTGTAGGTGATCATCAGGTCTGGCAAGGAAGGTTTCTTCCTGGGGTAGCTTCCAAAAATTCAGGAAAAATAATCCAGACTGTGCAATTTCATCAGAAAGGGACAGAAAAGGATAAGGAAACAAGAGACTGCACACATGGCTATGTGCACTACCAGAAATTTCTACTGTTTTTAAACTGCACATTCACTATCATAAAGAAATGGAGCTGAACAATCAGTGGATGAGTAAAAAGGTGTATCTGGACAATTCTAAAAAATCACTACTGTTTAGGAAGGGCAGTTTACAAAAAGAACTGGAGGACTTTGGTCTGAACTCTGCTGTCGTTCCCACCCACGTAGTGCTGAAGCAGCCCAAGGGAGATGTGCCAGGGCATGACATGAAGCCAACCCACAGGAACTGCCCGGCACTGGCGCCATCCCCGCTCCTGCCTGGCTCTCCCAGCTGTGCCAGGCTGGAAGGGCATGGCACAGCACCTCCCAACCCCATGGAAAGACAAGCCTGGGGCTTGTGGGTGGGCTGGCCAGCACCCACCAGAACCACCCACCAGAACCACCTGCCCCAGCAGGAGCTGGACATAAGATGGGACATGTCTCTGGTGCAACACATCAAATGGAAGCAGAACCACACTCCCCTGGCAAACCACTGGGAAAAATTCCCTTTGTAACACTATTAAATGATCTCCATGACTGTGGAGAACGGGCTGTGTCTTCTCCTGCCCCAGCTGACCCAGGAAAGACCCTGAGAGCACAGGAAGAAGCTCCCCAGAGCTTGCTGACCTTGGGCTGGGTCGGGAGGCGATGGGCTCTGTCCCCTCATTTCTCACAAAGCGCTGAGCAAGCTTTGGTGTAGTGGCCAATTTAGAAGCTGTTTTCAAAAAAAGTCTCCCACATCCCACTCCTGACATTTGTCTCTTGTGCCACAAGAGGCCCATCCCTTGTAATTCCACACCTAAAACCTGTCCCCAGCCAGCTATAGGTGTCACGGGTAACAGAGGGGACCACAGGTCTGCAAAACACAAGGGCAGACACAGGCTTTGGGGCTTCCTCCTGCCTACCTTGATGATGATATCAGGCTACAGAGCTCTGAAAATACCCTTCACCACCACCACAAGCTGCTGCAAGCTGCCCAGAGCCAGAGGACCCACCTGCTGTGAGCTCCCTGCTTGCTCTGCTCCTGGGAACACGATGGTGCACAAACACCCATTCAGACACGGGGTCCATGGGGAGCATCCCACTGCAGCGTTGCACTCCAACCTCCTACAGTAGGAATGCATTTTGTGAATCTGTCCCAGACGTATCCTCCTAGTGACAACCCCAGCCTGTTCCCATCCTCCCTTTGCTCTGTACCAGCCTCCAGAGCTGTCATCCTTCCTGGAGCTGGAGGCACTGCGGGCAGTGCAGCCCTGGCCGTCCCCGCTGCTGCTTCACGTCACCATAGCTGGAAAAGCATTTCCAAAAAGAACCAAAACTATATATATATGTATACATACATATATATGTTTATACATACACACACATGTATATATATGTATATATGTCTACCTATATATACACATATAGGTTTGACAGGCAAGCTGCCCAAGTAGAAAACATCAGTTCACAGAGCTCGTTTTATGCATGTTAAAGAAATGAGACTTTTAGCCCATGATATCTTCTTTAAAAATGAGTATTTAAGATCTTCAAAAATTGCTACAGTACAAAAAGTGTTTGTGTGTGTGTGTGTGTATATATATATATTTTCTCTCTACATATATTGTATGTATGTGTATGGACCAGGATGGATGACCCCACCAGAAGAGATGCCCCACTCATACTCCACAACGTTTCCAGGCGTTATCAGCTTGGCTTCGGCTTCTCACGAAGTCTCTGCATCGGTTCATGGCACATATTGGTATTATTGGCACAGGTTCAGAGTCACAGTCCCCGTCCAGGCTCCAGGCGCTCGGTCCTTCCCTCTCAGTCCCTTGCTGGTTCCTCTTCCTCCACTGGGTTCTCTGCTCACACATTTTGCCTTTCTCCCAAAAACGCGCTCTTTGAGAAACGCAGTTACCTACAGGCGTGTTCATTTGTATAAAAATATATTTGGCCCATAGAATGCTGCTCTTCGAGTCTCCTACTGGTAAACAGAAATGGTAGGTACAGGTAACCCATTATTTTTGTATATTTTTTACAGGTTCACCAATGGAATCCTATTAAGGATGAGAAGAAAAACAGATATTAAAACATGACAGGGAAATGCACCATGACTTGCATTACTTCTCTGATGCCCACTCCCCTCCCAGCCATGGCACAGGGCTTGGGTAGCATCCTGGGGGAGCAGGGTGTCAGGGACCCCTCCCCATCCCAGCTCCCATGCTGTGTTTGGGACTGGGACCACTCCTCCTGCCCCCTGGAGAAGCCCTAGCTTGCTTTCAGCCCTGTTCCGTGGGGCAGCCTCCCACACAGGGACACACTGGGACCCCAGATGCTTCAGTGAGCATTGGGGGTGACCAAGAAACTTTGCTCTGCCTTAGTGCACATTCCCATCTTCTCCAGATGCTTTGCAAAGCCTGATTCCTGGGCATCTTTGCACTTTTCAGCTTTTCACAGTTGGGGTCAGAGCAATGAGTGGTCGGGCAGAAGAGAAGACAATGATGAGCACTAACAAGATTTCCTTAAGTTAAATGCCCTACAGAAACCAATAGAGAATTGGTTAAGTACCAAAACCAGAAATCCTGCTAAAGTTCTCCTTGAGCTACTTATTTGCTGTCTTCTGAAATATCTCTGCCTTCCTAATCTGTAAACCTTTATGCAAAGACAATTACTCCCCATCACTGCTGTGTGGCCTTTCGCTTTGTGTGTGTGTGACTGTACAGGGACATGTGCTGCAGCACAGCCAAGTGTGCCTGGGACAGCCCAGGCTTTGCATCCAGCAGACACAGAGAGCACAGGCAGAGGAGCTGCCCACAGTGTGTGCCTGAGATACAGGCCCCAACATACACCATCACCTCTGAACAGCTGGCTCACCACATCTAGAAACACACCACGCTTTATGCTAAAGGGCTCCTTCTTCAACATTATTCTGAAGCAAGACACCCAACATACACCACCTCCATGAATAACACTGGAGTCTTAATTAGCGAGACAGATTTTGCAGAGTCCTTAATCTCCTGCACCAGGGCTGTGCTGGGACTGCTGTTATTCCTCCAAAGACAAGCCTGGATTTTTTATGATGACTCATTATTCTGTTAACGCTAATACAAACCATTTGCTGTTGTTAGGCAGAACGAGGCCATCACAGCAGCTGCTCACTGTGTTCAAAGCACAGAATTACCATGCAGATCTGGAAATTTTCACTTCCTTGTGCAGAAGCCTGGGTCAGAGCAACGCTGCTGTTCCAGGACAATTTCCACGTCTCAAATCGGCACTTTCCTTCCTCACAGCGACGCCGAACGTTTACACAGTTCTGGATGAACAGCACTTACTGCAGGCATTGCAGGATGGAACATTTAAATTGTGTTCCAAATGGCCTCTTTGTGCAAAGTAGGTCAGCGCTTGATCAACCTCACAGATTTTTGCTTAATCTCATTCCATGGGGGTTTTCAGTCAAAGAGAGCGGGATTAAGGACAAGAATAATGCGGAATCTCAAACTGCATTTCAGAAAGCCACAAAGCTGGTATGAAATCAAACCGAACCAGCCAGTTTGCTGTGGTGCCCAGGCAAAACTGCTCCAGTCTTCAGCCAATTCACCTTTTGGTTTGCAAAGCAGCCTCTTCCTTGGCACTGTGTCTCCTCTGTCATCTGCTGTCATTGAGTACAGAGGATTTTGCTTCTTAAATCCCTGTGTAGATACTTCTCCAGTGAGTCACCTGCTACAAATGCTTTAATTGACTGGTTTACTCTTCACCCAGACCCACCCTGGGCCACGGTGCTGCTGCTGCAGCACCAGTGCAGGGAGCTGCTGCAGATGGGCCAGGTCCTGTCGGCAGGGACAGCCCAGGAGCTTTCTGCTGCCCAGGGGTGACATCCATCCACATGTGCCCGTGTCCCGGGGCGCCCTGGTGCTGGCAGGGACAAGCTGCTGGAACGGCCCGACAGCTGCTGCCCCGGGCACCGCTGCCGGCTCCTGCAGGCACAGGAACCCTCCTGCTCCCTGGGAAACAGCTCCAACATCTGCTGCCGTGTCACACGAGGAGTTCCACCAGGTTTCCTGACACGACCTCGGCGCTGCCTGCAGCTCTGCGGGCTGGAGGCTGATCTGTGGCACCGTCCCTCACACCGGCTCCCAGCCCAGGCTCACGGTGCCATCAGCAAATGCCAGGCAGCACAGCATTCCATGCTCTCCCAGTGCTGATGGACTGTGCCATGTCAAGTCCACACTGAACTCCAACCAGCCTCCTGGTGCTCACCTAGTGGAAATGCTGGAGCTCCCTCTCTGCCCTGCCCGTGACAGGACAAGGCAACCACGACCAGGGACAATCTCCCAGGGAGCCATCTCAGTGCCACCAGCTGCTCTTGGGAGGTTTTACCTCATGCACGTGAAACTTTGAAATATTCATTTTGTCTGTGGGATGTCCCAGCTGGCACATGTGCATTCATGGAAAAATGCTGTTTGCAGGGGGTTGCAACGTGTCTTTCCACTGCAGACTTCCAGGAAGCTACAGGGAGCTGTGCTGATGGCCCCAGCACAGCACAGGGCTGTGGGGACAGCAGAGCCCACACAGGGGACATGCCTGCCATGAGCCTGGTAGCTGCTCATTCCAACAGCCAAGTCCCAGCAGAAGATGTAGGAAAACGTGTGCAGGAAAGAGTACAGTGTGGAAAAAATATTAAGTGGCCTTCTGAACAACTGAAGGATTTGGGTTGACCCCATTTTGGGAGGAGGGCGACCTCTCCTACTATCTGTGCCCTGGTGACATTCCCTACAGCACTTCCCACCTGTGGGAGGGACCCACGGCAACCACCTGGATTGAACCATAATGTTCCACACACACACGTGTATTCCAGAATCACCTGGGTGCAAATACATGCACATGTACATATGCAGAGAACAGTTTTTGGATTAATCTCATTTTGTTAACATTAATTAAACCAAAACATCAGCTTCCAGAACTGTATAAATAATTGAAACACTACAACAGACCTAATGCTCCAGGTACAACCCAAATAGATTTTTCCAGAGTGCATCAATACGCATTTTATGGATTCCATGAAAACAGGTCAATAAGAATTTCAGGGATTTAATAAGGCATAATGGACCAGCTCTGGACTATTTAAAGAAATCCATGGAGCTGCCCAGGGCAGGGTCTTTGGCACAGAGTTTCCCAGGACCTCAGGCAGGAGTGGTGGGAATGGCACAGATTTCTGATAGTGAGCAACATCTCAGAGCTGCTCGTGCCCCTCCCTCTACTTCAGGCACCAGTGCTCAAGTATGACTGGCTTGGGTTTTATGTTTGTTTTTTTAAAAAAAATCATTTTAAAGCAATGGACAGAGATCACAAACTACAAAGCTCCCAGTGCAAAAAGGCACAGTGGATCGTTGCTGTCAGCTTTCTGAAGCTCCTGTCAGCTTGAGCTGCTGGGGAAGAGCCTGCAGAACCTGTCCACCCCCCCAGCCCCTGCTCACCAGCACCAGCTCCACAGCCAGGCACCTTTGCACCCCCAGACAGCAGCCACGGCAAAGGAGTCAGAGAAATAACAAGCAAACTAATAGATGGGGAGTAAGAGCCTTTCCACAGCTAACAGTAAAACCCCTCCAACCCCAGAGGCTCGTGGGGGCAGAGCTGCCCCAGCTGAGCTGTGGGGTCCTGCCAGCAGGACCCTGCGGGCACAGAGCTGGGTGGGCAGAGGGCTCAGCCCCTGGCCCCTGCCCTCAGCACAGGGGCAGGCAGGGACACAGCTCCCCTGAGCTGCCCAGACACAGCCAGCCCCAACCACAGCCCAGACCATCAACCTTTTTATTCCTTTCCATTCCAAGCTAATTATATTTCTGTGTTCAATAGCTGAGCTCAATGTTAAACAGGCTGAGAAAGCTGCAGTCAGGGAAGGCTGGAAATTCCATTTACATGGAATATATGATTCATCACAGCAGGGACCTGGGACAGACCAATTAATTCACCTGAGTGTGGTTCAAATGGGCACTGCTGCCCCATAGGGTGTCCTGGGAACCTTAACTGCTTCTCCTGCCACCACAACCAGATGTGTCATCTCCAAAAGCAGAACAAGGAGGCGAAAATAGACCAAGATCACTCAAAAAGGGAAAAATCCCCAAACCATGTACTACTGAAACACGCACAAAACTGTTTTACTCCCTCAGCTGCAGCAGTACCCGAGGTATGAGCCTGGCTGCTGGGCACACACTGGGCTGGCAGGTTCAGCTTCCTACAGAGCAACCAGGGCACAGGGGGGGAGGAGGAGGAACCTGACACCCCCACAGCAGGAGCATGGATGTGTCTGTGACAGCAAACATCAGCAGATGAGCTTTCGGGTATGGATGGAGCATGCATGTCAGATGTGTGACCCCTGAACAGGACGAGCTGTCCATCATGCACCAAGAGGTTAATTACAGATCAGGCCATTTTGCAACATGGAAATTCCTATCACTTGTCAAGGTGTCAGGGGTGGGCTGGAACCACAAGATCAGGCTGAAGTTCAAGGCTGCTCTAGGGAACCTTTGCTCTCAAGTAAACATCCATCCCCTTCCCTGATGTTTAGCTCAGGCCTGTCTGTAATTCACCTCCATAAAAAACTCATTTTGTACCCAATGTCCCACCCGTGGCAGGAGACACATCTGTCCACCCTGGCCAGGTGAGCCACCCTGCTTGGGTCCCATGTCCCAGGAGGATGGCACCAGGCAAGGGACAGAGCAGCTGCCCATGAGCAGGGATGATGGGGATGTGGGCAGGGGATGGGCACGGGGGGAGCACTGGTACATACCAGGAAACAGCCCGATGGCGTCTGCCCTGCTCCCAAGAGTCAAACAGGCTTCGGCCAGTCAGCAGGAGATTTCAAACCATTTCTCAGACACAAAGGCCACAGGAATAAGATGCCGGTCAGAAGAAGAGGGTCTGCAGGCAAGGAGAAAAAGGGGCTTGCACATGCTAGTACGTAACACACAAGGAGCAAGTTGAGGTGGCTTGCTGTGAAATCAGCCTTTTTAGAGGGGGAAAAAATACTCTCTCTAAAATAATGCTCTGAATGGGCTTATCAGCCTTGGAAACCAGGGTTTTGCAGAGCAGAGACAGAAGAAGAAAAAGATGGATATTAGAATTCCAATATTGAATGTTTTACCCCCATGCATCCTTCGAGGCAGCCATGTGCCCTGGGGGTACATGACTGCAGACAACAGCAGAGCATCTCCCCTCTGGCCCCTCCACCTCCAGCCCTGGCTGCTGTGCCCACCAAGTGCTCAGACTCTGCTGTGCTATCTGCACATGGCCCGAGGCCAGGAGGGTCCTGGAAAGCACCGCCTGGCAGCAGAGAAGCACTGAACCTCTTCCAGCCAGCACAGGGGCACCCCTGGCTGGGGGTCACAGCAAAACCAGCATGTGTACCTTCCACAGCCTGGTTTGCAAAGCCCTGCCAATGCTCTGCCTTCGGAGATCAGGGGAAACCCTGGGAAACATCAGCCAGTAAAACCCCATGCAGGTGCAGAAGAGGATGGTTACAGAGATGGCTATTAATAAGCTGACGGCTTCCAGGCTCCTGTCCATGCAGGTGGACCTCAGCAGTGGTGGCAGGCACTCCACAGCCCGGCCAGACTGTGCCAACACCCAGTTGCTCATTTTCTTCTTCAAACCTGACCTTTTCCTCTGGCTTTGACAGGGAACACGCATTTACCACGTGGTAAAACTGTACCAGTGCCCAGCAAAAGGACTTCAGAGCCAGCCCAGGGGCCACCCCTGACCACCTCCCTCCTGTGCCAGCACAGGCCATGCAGAGCCAGGGCTCCCACCCTTCACACTGGCTGCCACAAAGCCCCCTGGTTAATGCCTCATTATTTCATGCCAGACAAACGGCTCATTTGGCTCTCGCTGCCCGCTCCTCCATTAATCACCTCGCTCGTTTGCAGCCCAGCAGCTCTTTCGATGCCACTTAGGAGACAGCACGAACACTGGAAGATGGATCCAGCAGCATTTACACGCTGGCAGAGGCAGCTGGGAACTGAAAAATGCACGGTGCCAAACGCTGCTGAGCCGTGGGGCTGCCGAGCCCCCCACCCATCCTCCCTGGAGGGATGAGAGGTCTGGTGGTTGTGCCCACGTTGAGCTCCGGGGTGGGCGAGCACTGTGGGCTTTGAGGGCTGGAGGAAGGCAGCTCTGCCATGTGCTCCCAGGGCATCTCCCCTGGGCTACAGACCCCGGCACCAGAGCGGGACGGTGCTCCCCAGCCCGCTGGAAAACGGCACCAGCTGCCTCACCTGTTTCCATTGTAGGTGGTTTTGTAATCCCCGGGCGAGCGCAAGGCCTCCTCCGCGTAGACGGGCACGGGGCCGCGGCCGCAGTCGTGGGAGCACGGGAGGGTCTCGTTGTAGGCGGTGAAGATGTCGAGGGCGCTGGGCACGCGGGCGGGGGCGAAGTCGGTGAGGTTCTGGCAGCTCTCCTCCTGCTGCTCCAGCTTGCGCTGGTGGCTGTTGCGCCGCGGGCGCCCGCTCTGCGCGCAGCTGCGCGGGGACAGGAGGGGACAGGGGCACTGGGCTCAGCCAGGAACTAATTACACATCGCTCAATATTAGACTTGAATTCAGGCACTTCGGAGAGATCAGCCATGAACAAGCAGTCGTGACACTTGTTTTTTGCCTTTTTTTTTTTTTTTTTTCCCAAGGATCAAATTTAAATTTTAGATACAAGTTTTTTACCACCCGAGGAATTACTTAGCAAGTCACACGTTTATACCTGCAGGAAACAAAAGCTTTTTTTTCAAGTGAAAAGACACAGGTGAGAACGATGAAGTGCAACCCTTTCCATTCGGGAAGCACAAAAAAGGTTTAAGTTATGGGGATAAATAAGCTCAGAACCTGCTCTGACTGGGTGGACACGCTCCCCGTGGCCAAGGGATGGCTGGTGGGGCAGCCCTGATCCCCAGCGGCTCCACCAGGACCTTGTGGCCATGCAATGCTTCTGGTGCTGTACATGCAAAACAAGGAGAACACCAGCAGG